GGGGGGTGACAGTGTGGGGGGGAGAGGGGGGGGTGACAGTGTGTGGGGGGGAGAGGGGGGTGACAGTGTGTGGGGGAGAGGGGGGTGACAGTGTGGGGGGGGGAGGGGGTGACAGTGTGTGGGGAGAGGGGGGTGACACTGTGTGGGGGAGAGGAGGCGGGGTGACAGTGTAGGGGCGGAGGGGGGTTGACAGTTGGGGGGAGAGGGTGAGTGGGGGGGGGAGAGGGGGGGTGACAGTGTAGGGGGGGAGGGGGGGTGACAGTGTGGGGGGAGAGGGGGGTGCCAGTGTGGGGAGGGTGGGGTGACAGTGTGGGGGGGGTCAGTCACTATGTGTGTGTGTGACTGTGTTGTGTGTGTGGGGGGGGGGGGAGGGGGGGTGACAGTGTGGGGGGGGGGGGGGTCAGTCACTGTGTGTGTGTGAGACTGTGTGTGTGTGTGTGTGACTGTGTGTGTGTGGGGGGGTCAGTCATGTGTGTGTGGGGGGGGTCGGTCACTGTGTGTGTGTGTGTGACTGGTGGCCTGTGTATGTGTGTGTGACTGGCGGCCTGTGTGTGTGTGTGACTGTGTGGGGGGGGGGGGGTCAGTCACTGTGTGTGTGTGTGTGTGTGTGACTGGCGGCTGTGTGTGTGTGTGTGTGTGTGACTGGCGGCCTATGTGTGTGTGACTGGTGGCCTGTGTATGTGTGTGTGACTGGCGGCCTGTGTATGTGTGTGTGTGACTGTGTGGGGGGGTGGGGTCAGTCACTGTGTGTGTGTGTGTGTGTGTGTAACTGGCGGCCTGTGTGTGTGTGTGTGTGTGTAACTGGCGCCTGTGTGTGTGTGTGTGTGTGTGTGTGTGACTGGCGGCCTGTGTGTGTGTGTGTGTGTGTGTGACTGGCGGCCTGTGTGTGTGTGTGTGTGTGTGACTGGCGGCCTGTGTGTGTGTGTGTGTGTGACTGGCGGCCTGTGTGTGTGTGTGTGTGTGTGTGTGTGTGACTGGCGGCCTGTGTGTGTGTGTGTGGTGTGTGACTGGCGGCCTGTGTGTGTGTGTGACTGGCCTGTGTGTGTGTGTGTGACTGGCGGCCTGTGTGTGTGTGTGTGACTGGCGGCCTGTGTGTGTGTGTGTGTGACTGGCGGCCTGTGTGTGTGTGTGTGTGTGTAACTGGCGGCCAGTGTGTGTGTGTGTGACTGTGTGTGTGTGTGTGGGGGGGGGGGGTCAGTCACTGTGTGTGTATGTGTGTGTGTGTGACTGGCGGCCTGTGTGTGTGTGTGTGTGATTGGCGGCCTGTGTGTGTGTGTGTGTGTGATGGCCTGTGTGTGTGTGTGTGTGTGACTGGCGGCCGGTGTGTGTGTGTGTGTGTGTGACGGGCGGCCTGTGTGTGTGTGTGTGTGAGTGTGATTGGCGGCCTGTGTGTGTGTGTGTGTGTGTGACTGGCGGCCTGTGTGTGTGTGTGTGTGTGTGACTGGCGGCCTGTGTGTGTGTGTGCGAGTGTGATTGGCGGCCTGTGTGTGTGTGTGTGTGTGTGTGTGTATGTGTGTGTGTGTGATTGGCGGCCTGTGTGTGTGTGTGTGTGTGATTGGCGGCCTGTGTGTGTGTGTGTGTGTGTGTGATTGGCGGCCTGTGTGTGTGTGTGTGTGACTGGCGGCCTGTGTGTGTGTGACTGTGTGTGTGTGTGCGTGTGTGACTGTGTGTTGGTGAGTTTCTATGGGAATCCGCCGGGAGAGTGACAGCAGTTGGGGCTCAGACACCATTAACTATTCCGTGACCTCAATCATCTGATACACAATCCTCACATTTTCATTTGTTTTTCTCTGACAAACCCACAGCGCAGTCTGTGCTTAACCACATTTACACACAGTGCCATGTTGTGGGGCTTCCATGTCTCTCCCTCTGTCCTCCTGGAGGGAGGCCTCCTACTTACCTAATTCCGGAGAGTATTAGGCACAGGTTGACGAGAGCCAAGGCCTGGGGGGGCCCCAGAGAGTGCGTTGGGGTAACTGTTGGGAGTCTAACCAACTAATCCCACACCGCTCGGCCATTGAGATCACTGTCTGGCAGCTTTCCCGCTGCTTGTCCAGCGAGGACCCCCCTCCCCGTTAGTCAGGGCTTTGGCTGTGGGGGTAACGGGAGCTGAGGGGGAGGATTCCCGGCCCCCAGTGACTGGTCGGCCCTTCCAGGTCCTGCCGCTGGGCCGGGCTGCCGTCAGCAGCGCACTTGATACTTATACACATCAAAACCTCTCAAAGCGCTTCACAGGAAATCAATGTCGAGTGTAGTGACTGTTTATAGGCACAAACCACAATGGTTCACAACCATTTCGAACTCATCAAAACCCCACAAACAGCCACGGAGTGAGTGAGCAAAATGGTGCCGTGGGATCTTTTCTGTACACCGGCACAGACGGGACGGGTTTAACGTCCCGTCTGAAAGACGGCGTCTCTGATAATGCGACGCACCTTCCTCGACAATGAGAGGAACTGTCGTGAGCTAAGAGTATGTCACTGTTTATCCTCAATATTAATTCCCCCCCTCCATCTCCCAGGGTTAATCCCTCTGGGAAACAAACTTGTTTTTCTCAGAGATGAAGAGAAAAAGGCAGAGAGCGAGAGAGAGAGAGGCAGAGAGATAAGAGTGTGTGAGGCACAGATGGAGGGACAGAAAGTTAGTGTGTGAGGGAGCGGAATGAGAGAGGTGATGTGTGTGTGGCGGAGACACGGAGTCCCAGAGGGAAACGGAGTGAGTTTGAGAGTAGAGAGTGTTAGAGAGCAAGTGGTTGGGAAACATATTTAATAATGATGATTGTATTGGATATAATAACGTATTGGATATAGTGCCTTATTACATCGTTGAGACATCTCAAAGCACTTCACAGAATATACTGGAGAGCGACTGTGTATTTTGTGGGCGAAACGCGGCAGCCAACTTGCACACAGTTGTCCCACAGAGAGTCGTGGATTGAGTGACCACACTTTGTTTGAGGGATTATTAGTTACCCCGACCAACAGCGGGGTTCCTACTCACTGCTCGGCAAACAGAGGCGTAAGGACACTTGCCCAACATCGAACCGGGCCCCTCTTGCTTGCGAGGCCGGGGGATAAACACTACATTTGGTACCAAAACATCTCAAAGCTTCACTGTAACGTGTAGTGACTGTGTTTTGCTAGCAAACTCGGCAGCCCGCAAACATCTGCGAGGTGAGCGATTGATTTTATCTGCAGGACAACGGGCGAGAGAGAGAGAGAGAGAGAGAGAGACGGCTTTTCTTGACAAGGTGCCACTCTCTCGCCCCCGGCAGTGGGCTGGAGCACGTCAGCCCCGGTCTGTGAGCTCAGAGTCCTTGAGGTTTGGTATAGGGTCCAAGTGCTTCACAGTGATTACTGTTGAGTGAGTGACGCAGGTACGAGGTGGAGTAGGTGATTAATCTGGAGGATCTTTGGTGGGGGCCAGAGAGACGCAGCCAACCAACCAACCAGGCCGTAGGACAGACGGACCGACTGGGAAAGGATGTTCCGGCCGGACGGAGCCACAGACGGTTTGGCCAGACTTTTGCAGGAGTCATTTTTAGTTGTTTAATTCGTTTTAAATTTTTCTCCAACAAAAAAAAATTAATTCCACAATACGTTTTACGTAACTTTTACAACAGGATATTCTCGGCTGAGGCGATCTGCTATGAAGTTTGCGCTCTCTCTCTCTCTCTCTCTCTCTCGCTCTCTCTCTCGCTCTCACACGCACTCACTCCCTCACTCACACACACACTTGTGAACGGAACAATCCGTGAGAGCAGACACGAAGGGTTAACTAGCGTTCGACGCCTCTGCAGCCTTGGAGCTGTATCATTGCGCTGGCATAAATAAGAACAGGTTATTATATATAGCTTGGGGGGGGGGGGGGGGGTGTGTGGGGGGGGAAACGGATTAAAAACTAAGGGTTGAGTTGCACACAGAGGGGGCGACGAAGAATGGAGGCGTTGGCCCGATGGAACACAGCTCCGGGTTTCCCTCCCCGCGGTGCGGTAGGGTGGGTAACCGGGCCGGGAGGGGTTGGGGGGGGGGGGGGGTGGGGGGGGGGGGGGGAGAATTAACATGAAAAAAAACAAAAATACCGTATATATAAACCGCAGAATTAAAAATAATTACAGCTTTCCACTGCGAAACTAAACACCAGCCGTTGGGCTGTCGAGAGCCTTTCCGAGACTCGGGCTGGGGGTGGGGGCAGGGGGTTTACACACTGTCAATGACGTTATCTGTGACCCCCCCCCCCCCGACCCCCTCACCCCCCCAACTGAGAGCCTCTCCCAGCCTGAGCAGCCGTGGGAACCTGCCTTTCAGCAGGACAGGACCCCATGTTTCCAGTCTTCATTTCCCCCTCACTCTCTCTCTCTCTCTCTCTCTCTCTCTGTCTATCTATCTCGCTCCCCCCACTCCCCCCCACCACTCCCCCCCCACCACTCCCCCCAGCAGTGTGCGGGTGACGGTTTCAATGCTCCCCGTTGCTGACGCTGGCGGTGCCCGATGCTGAGCCGGGAATCCTGGGCATCTTCTTGGCCGGGCTCGGGACGTGCTGTGAGAGGGAATAGATATCAGGGCTCAGTGCTCCAGGCTGACAACCTCCACCCCACCACCCAACAACAACAACAACAACAACTTGCATTTACACAGCGCCAGGATAGCGCCTCACAGCGCCTGACAGTGACGGAGCCTGACACTGAGCCAGTTTTCAGACGCGACCTGAAGGTCGGGAAGGAAGGGGCAAGGAGGAGGGACAAGGGAAGGGGTTCCTGAGTCTCAGGGGGTAGTGGCTGAAAGTGCGGCCACTGATGGCGGAATCATACGCCCCCCCCCCCCCCACCCACCCCCGCCGCCCCCTGCCACTGTGCATGTGTGGTGAGGGAGGGGGTGAGAGATGAGGGTGAGGGAGGGGGTGAGGGTGAGGGAGGGGGTGAGGGATTCTGCGGGCTCACCTCATTAGCGTGCACGCCCGCCAGCCCTGCCTTGTAGCTCCCCACTTCCTCTAGGGGGCGCCGTGCGTACTCCCGCCGATGCTTCTCGTCCACCTGTGTCAGGTACCACGTCCCAGGGAACAGGTCCTCCACAGGGCTCTGAGGTGTGTAGTTGGCTACAGAGAACAGCAGACACAGACCAGACAGAGAGACACACAGAGAGTGTCAGAGACAGAGAGAAAGAGACCGAGAGAAAGAGACAGACAGACAAATGACATTTTTGCATCTCTTCACATTAAAACAAACATCGAAGCTTCAGGATGTAAGTGTCAGATGTAGTGACTGGTTTTGTGGACAAACTCTGAAAGAAAAACCCAGGAGCACTCATCTAAAGACTGTTCTCTCCAAGTCTAGATCATCATCACAATTATAATAATCCCTGCATTTGGTATGTGCCTTATCACTAGATGGGGGGGGGTGGGGGGAGATGTGGAGCCCTGCTCCCCACCCAGTGAGGCTCAGCGGTGACAGTGAATGGCCGAGACACAGGTCGATCACAGGCTGTGTCGGTGTCCGTTACTGTGGCTGACACAGATCAGTGTGTCAGATGCCAGTGATGGGGATTAAATGTTGAGGGAGCACAGCTCAGACAGCTTGTGTCACTGAGTACAACAGACATCCATTAGTGAGGGCTGTTAACACAGCCACTGAGCTCCACAATCTTTCCCTCTACAGCTAGAATGTCAGTGAGGCCGACAAGGAAATACACTGCCTTCTCTCACTCTCAACAACAACAGCTTGCCCTTTACACGGGGTGGGGAGTCCGAGTGCTGAACAGCAGTGAGTTTGGCGCTGAGCTGGAAAGGGAACGGAGGTGACCAAAGCCATGGCCAAAGAGGAAAGTCTTCAGGTGTGATTTGAAGGCACATTTATGGAGTCCTGTAGCGTAGTGGTTAGAGCAGAGCAAAACGTTGTGCAAGTTTCCTTAGCCCACACGCCTCTGTTTACCAGCAGTCAGTAGGAACCCGGTCATTAGTCGATTGGCGGATCACTTTTCCCGGCTAATAATCAATACAAAAATTCTTTTAGCATGTGTAGGTGGGATGCACTGGATTCTCAGCTTGGTTTGCAGACTCTTAACCATGTTTCCCCTGTGTTGCTCACTCCTTCCTCCCACTGTGGCTGTTCCCCTGTGTTGCTCACTCTCTCTGCAGCTGTTACAGGAGAGTTGCTCACCCCACCCCCTGGGGCTCTTACCGAGGTGGTGTGTCTCCTCCCGCACTTTCATGCTGCTGGCGAAGGCCTCGGGTTGGATGCGATGCCGGGAGTCGAGGCGAGCCTGCAGGTCGGCCAGGCTGCTGACTATCTTGTCGAGTCTCGAGCCCGGAGAGGGGTCAGAGCTGACCCGCAGGGAGAACAGTGTGGCCGCAAAGCCAGAGCCGTAAGAGAAGAGCCCAATCCGCTGCCCTGACAGCTCCTGGGCTGTGCGTCTGGGAACATAGTGAAGAGGGTCAGAGAGGGAGCAGGGGGGAGAGGGGCAGACAGACTGAGAGAAAGGAGGGGAGACAGAGAGAGAGAGAGAGAGAGAGAGGACGACAGAGGGAGAAACAGAGACAAACAGACTGAAAGAGAAAAAGAGATTGAGAAGAAAGAGATTGAGAGAGACAGATAGAGACGAAGACACAGAGTTAGAGAGAGGTTCAGAGGCAGAGAGAGAAAGAGATCGAGAGAGAGGGAGAGAGAGAGGAAAGAGACAGAGAGGAGAGCGCGAGAGTAAGATAGAGAGGAAAGAGTGACAGTCAGAGAGAGACAGACAGAGAGAGAGAGAGAGAGAGAGAGCAGTGTGTACTCACTGGGCGAGCACGGCAGACAGACAGCCGTACACGGAGGGGGTGTACATGTTGCCGTTCTGGTTGGAGAGGGTGAGGGAGGGTTTGGTTTTCTGGTGGAACAGCTCGGAGCTGGCTTTCAGGAAGGCTTTCTCCACGTCTTTGTCAAAGTAACTTTCCTCCAGCTTCACCTCCCTTTTGTGGGCAGAGCACAGCGTTCATCAACTCACACTCACACGCTGAGCCTGTCAGCAACTCACACTCACACACTGAGCCTGTCATCCACTCACACTCTGAGCCTGTCATCAACTCACACTCACACACTGAGCCTGTCAGCAACTCACACTCACACACTGAGCCTGTCATCAACTCACACTCACACACTGAGCCTGTCAGCAACTCACACTCACACACTGAGCCTGTCAGCAACTCACACTCACACACTGAGCCTGTCATCAACTCACACTCACACACTGAGCCTGTCATCAACTCACACTCACACACTGAGCCTGTCAGCAACTCACACACTGAGCCTGTCAGCAACTCACACTCACACACTGAGCCTGTCATCAACTCACACTCACACACTGAGCCTGTCAGCAACTCACACTCACACACTGAGCCTGTCAGCAACTCACACTCACACACTGAGCCTGTCATCAACTCACACTCACACACTGAGCCTGTCAGCAACTCACACTCACACACTGAGCCTGTCAGCAACTCACACTCACACACTGAGCCTGTCAGCAACTCACACTCACACACTGAGCCTGTCAGCAACTCACACTCACACACTGAGCCTGTCAGCGACTCACACTCACACACTGAGCCTGTCAGCAACTCACACTCACACACTGAGCCTGTCAGCGACTCACACTCACACACTGAGCCTGTCAGCGACTCACACTCACACACTGACCCTGTCATCCACTCACACTCACACACTGAGCCTGTCAGCGACTCACACTCACACACTGAGCCTGTCAGCAACTCACACACTGAGCCTGTCATCAACTCACACTCACACACTGAGCCTGTCAGCAACTCACACTCACACACTGAGCCTGTCAGCGACTCACACTCACACACTGAGCCTGTCAGCGACTCACACTCACACACTGAGCCTGTCATCAACTCACACTCACACAGCAGGTCAGCAACACAGTGTTACAGATCAAAGTCAATGTAACAGAGGCCGAGGTGGCGGCTAATCTACTACCAATCCACGACTGTTTGTGGGAACCTGTTGTGCGCAATTGGCTGCCGCGTTTTGCCCACAAAATACACAGTCACTACACTTTACAGTGTATCATCTGAAGCGCTTTGAGACATCTCAACAGCCTGATAAGGTGGTGTGTCAAATGCAAGGATTATTATTATTATTAATCTGCGCCAGCGATGTCCTGCTCTGCTACAAGGTTTTAGCTGGTTAGACTCCAGCAGTTACCCCAACACACACTTGGGGTCCTCAAGCCTTGGCTCTTGCCAACCTGTGCCTAACACTCTCTGGAATTAGGTAAATCAGGGTGCGTCCCTCCAGGGAGAGAGAGAGAGAGGGTGGGGGGGGGGGGGGCAGAGAGAGAGAGAGATATTGCAGGTTCCACCCCTGTGTGGAAACTGACCTGAAGGTCTCAAGGCCAGAGTACAGGCCGCTCTGGGTGTTGGGGTTGGGGTCACTGAGGAAGTCGTTGAGCAGGAGCCTGGCCAGGGATTTCTGTACCAGTTTGCAGTACGGTGTGTGGAACACAACATAGGCAAAGTCCTGCAGGGTGATCCTCGTGTCACTGCCCTCTGGAAAAGAGAACAACAAGTCAGTCATTACACAGCCCGGCCCCGGCCTGGCCACTCACTGGTTAACTCCACCAGGTCACATCGTTAAATCCCACTCCCTCCCTCCCCCCCTAATCCCTTTACCCCCGCAGTATCTATCCAACTCCCTCTGGAACTCCAGCCTGCAGTCCCTTACTTATAATAACTTAGGAAAAGGAGCAGGTCATTCAGTCCCTCAAGCCTGTTCCGCTCCCTTACAGCCTGCCTCAGCCAGACCCCCACCTGCCCCACTGGCTCGGGAGCTCTTCGAGACGCCAACCGGACATGAGAGATGCTGTAGAAGTGTTAACTGTACAGGGTGAGCGTGCGAGGGCGAGAGTGGGCGTGCGAGGGGTCTGACAGGCGTGCGAGCAGGGTGACCGTGTCAGCGATGGGCGTGCGAGGCACAGCCGACTGACCTTTCTGTCTCAGCGCCTGCTCCTTGTTGCGGTACCGTGTGTAGCAGTGATCGAGGGCGCTCAGATAGCACTCGATGGACAGCTTCCCGTCCACCACAGGGTACTCAGACACCATGTCTGGCTTGTAGAAATCATAGGCATGTTGCATGTGGGTCCCACGCAGACCTGAGGGACAGAGAGAGAGAGAGAGTCGCACAGTCACATCTCACTGAGAGAGACAGAGAGAGTCACCCCGTCACCTCACTGAGAGAGAGAGAGATAAACTGTGTGAGAGAGAGATTGTGAGAAAGAGACCTGAAGAGACAGACAGAGAAAACTACAGACAGAGAAGACGACAGACAGACAGACAGACAGACAGACAGACAGACAGACAGACAGACAGACAGACAGACAGACAGACAGACAGACAGACACAGACAGACAGACGAGATCATGTCATAATCTTGTTTGATATTGCCCTCTACCAGTGAGTAGCCCTGAACCAACCAGCACTCTCCCCCCCCCACCCTCACCACTATCCCCACCCAACCCCTGTCCCCCCCATCCTCAGAGCTATCCCTCACTCCCCCCTCTCCCTCTCTCCCCCCACCCCCTCTCCCCCCATCCTCAGAGCTATCCCTCACTCCCCTCCCTCTCTCTCCCCCCACCCTCTCTCCCCCCCCACCCTCTCTCTTCCCCCCACCCCCTCTCCCCCCATCCTCAGAGCTATCCCTCACTCCCCCCTCCCTCTCTCTGCCCCCACCCTCTCTCCCCCCCACCCTCTCTCTTCCCCCCACCCCTCTCTCCCCCCATCCTCAGAGCTATCCCTCACTCCCCCCTCCCTCTCTCTCCCCCCACCCTCTCTCTCCCCCCACCCTCTCTCCCCCCCACCCTATCTCTCCCCCCACCCTCTCTCTTCCCCCACCCCCTCTCCCCCCATCCTCAGAGCAATCCCTCACTCCCCCTCCCTCTCTCCCCCCACCCTCTCTCTCCCCCCCACCCCTCTCTCTCCCCCCACCCTCTCTCTCCTCCCCCCACCCTCTCTCTTCCCCCCCATCCCTCTCTCCCCCCATCCTCAGAGCTATCTCCTCACTCCCCCCTCCCTCACTCCCCCCTCCCTCACTCCCCCCCCTCTCTCTCTCTCCCCCCACCCTCTCTCCCCCCACACCCTCTCTATCCGACACCAGGAGGGCTAAATGGCTCTCCTACACCAGGTACCTCCGGCATAATCCCCTGTGAAGCCCTGAGAGCTGATCAGTCGCCATCAAATTCTCTTTCAGCAACTTGGGGGCAAAATAACTGCAGCAGCGGTACCACACACCACCAGCAGGAGGCGGTACACACACACACACACGCACACAGCACTGCTGCACACACCACTTACACACACACACACACAGACACACCACTCACACACACACACACAGACATACACAGTCATACACCACTCACACACACACCACTCACACACACACACAGCACTGCTGCACACCACTCACACACACAGACATACACACACAGTCATACACCACTCACACACATACACCACTCACACACACACACCACCACACACACACAGACATACACACAGTCATACACCACTCACACACACACACATACTCACACACACACACACCACTCACACACACCACACACCACTCACACACACACCACTCACACACGCACCGACATACACCACTCACACACACAGACATACACCACTCACACACACACCACTCACAACCACACACACACAACCACTCACAGACACACAAACACACACCACTCACACAGACACACACACTGAGGCACACACACACTCCAGTCACACAGAGACACACACACACACAACTCACTCAGACAAGTCACACACACAGTCCCACAGAGATACACACACACACACACATTTTGCAGTTACACAGCAGCCTTCAAGTAGGATAACGCATCAGAGTGCTTGATGAAAACACGATGGGACACATAATACACACTCCACACACCTCCCTCCCCCCACACTTCCCCTTTGGCCGCTGAGCCATGTCATCCCCATGTACCTCTCTCGAGGGATAAGGGGGCATTGGGCCCCACCAGCATGGCCACGGCCCCTGCTCCCCCCGTGGGCGGGCACTCCCGGAGGCATAAACAGCAATATCACCAGCGACAACCAGCGCGTAACGACCTGGACAAGAGAGAGAGATAGGGAGAGTGTCAGGAATACAAACAACAACAAATTAAATTTACACCGCGCTTTCACGTCGGGAGGATGTCCTGAGGCGCTGGACAGTCAGGGATTTGTACCCGAACTGGGGGTTGGGATCGGTGAGGATGGAGGACAGGGAGGGTGGGGGTAGGAGGGTGACTGAAGGCGCTGTTGAAGAGGAAGATCTTGAGACATGCCTTGAAGGAGGGGAGGGAGGACGTGAGGCGGAGCAACTGTGGGATGGAGTTCCAGAGGGTGGGGGTAGAGAGGCTGAAGGCCCGACCGCTGGTGGGGGTTAGGGCGGATGTGGAGCACCAATAAGGCATCGATCATCATCACCAACCAATGGAGTTTGGGCTAAAACCTGGTGAAGTTTCTCTCACTGAGTGATGAGAACATGGACCACTCAAAGGAGCAGGAGAAGGCCATTCAGCTCTAACAGCCTGATCTGCCATTCTATTAGACCATGGCTGATCTCTACGTCAACTCCAATTACCTGCCTTTGCCCCCTATCCCTTGATCCCCTGACTTAATAAACATCTCTCCACCTCAGTCTGGACAATGTGAAAGGATCCAGTCATAATCCACAGCCTTTTGGGAGAGAGAGAAACAAAGGGAGAGTTCCAGATTCCTACTGGCCTTTGGGTGAAAAACTGTCTCCTGATTTCATTCCTAAATGGCTTGGATCTAACTTTAAGATGATTCCCACCTTGTTCTGGATTCCCACCAGAGGAAATAGTTTCTCTGTATTATTTTCTAGCAGAAATCTAATTTGTTCTTGAAACAAACAAAGCTTTCTGTTTCCACCGTCTCCCGAGGGAACCTGTTCCACAAGTTTGGTACTCGCTCCCTGAAGCAGATTTACCGCCCTTTCAATCTCAGGCCGTGTTGTCTGGTTCTACTGTTCAGTACCAGATACAACAGCTTATCATTTCCCATCAGAATCTTAAATTAATCTCCTGCACCGAGGCGAGCAAGCTCTCACCGTCCCCCACCCCGCGGGAGGCAAGCGAACTGTCACTGTACCACCCCCCCAACCCCCCTCCCCCTCGAGTGAGCTCTCACCATCCCAGGAGCTGGACTCCACCCAGTTGACGGCATTGAAGAGGGCTGCGGTGCCCCCATAGCAGGCGTTGGTGGTATCGATGCCCTCCACGTCAGAGTTGCCCGACTCCTGGAAGAGCTGCATGAGCACGGTCTTGACAGCCTTGGACTTGTCGATAATGGTCTCTGTGCCCACCTCCAGCCGCCCCACGCTCTCATAGGGGATCTGGTTTCTCTCCAGCAGTCGCTCCACCACCGTCAGGCACAGAGAGTTGATGTCCTCCCGGTCAGAGCAGAAGCCCATCTTGGACTGGCCCAGGCCGATGGTGTACTTGCCCGCGTCTACCCCATCGTACTGCTCCAACTCCGTCTGGTCCACGTACTGAGCCGGGAAGTAGATCTCCATCGCAATGATCCCAACATCCTTAGGCCAGCCCGACTGGGCACAGGGGGGGACTGAGCCAGGCATGTTGGAGAAGCTGTGAGAGAGAGAGACACACAGAGGTGAAGGGAGAGCAGAGGTTACAACAACAACAACTTGGTTTACACAGTGCCCTTCACTCTCGGAAAGCTTAACAGTAGCGGAGTACGAAATCGAGCCGGGGGGAGGGGGGAGGTGACTGTAAGAGCAGTCGAAAATGAAGATCTTCAGGAGCGATCTGAAGATGGGGAAGGAGGGGGCAAGGTGAAGGGACTGAGCAAGAGAGTTCCAGAGTTTCGGGGCGTATTGGCTGAAGGCACGGCCACCGATGGTGGAGTGGAGGGGAGGAGGGACACGCAGGAGGCCGGAGCCAGTCGAGCTGAGGCAGCGGGCAGTGGGTTGGGGAGTAAGCAGGTCAGAGAGGTTGGGCGGTGCCAGGGCATGAAGGGATTTGTAGACAATTAATGGGGACTTTGAGTTCACAATCCACAACTAAATCGGGGGTCGGGCCTTCAGCCTCTCTACCCCCACCCTTTGGAACTCCATCCCACAGTGCCTTTGCCTCGCTCCCTCCCTCCCCTCCTTCAAGGCATGTCTCAAGACCCTCCTCTTCGACCGCGCCATCGGTCACCCTGCTAGACCACACCCTCCCGGCCCTCCACCCCTCCTGCAGCCGATTTGCACACATCCAACGTCCCACAAACAGCCAATGTCATGATAGGGTAAGGATTATAAGTAGTATATAAGCTCCAAAATCTTCGGGCAAAGAGGTAAGGTTTCAGATGAGATTTAAAGACAGACGGAGCTGAGATATAAAACCACTTGGCAGCAGTAATGCTTGGAGACATTGATGTCAGAATATTAATAACAATCCTTGCATTTGTTACAGTGCCTGAATGTCCTGAGATGATTCACAGGAAATTGCTGCCTTGTGACTGAGTTTGTGAGTACCTTCACTGAGCTAACCGCTCCGAGACCCTGTCCTGCGTGAAGGGCAAATACAATACAAATGACACTTGTATAGCACCTTTCATTATATAAATATATGAATGCACTGGGCAAAACCTAGGACCTGCTGTAACAGGGACTATCTCCACAGAGGCTCCTACACGGTGCCTCAGTGATCAGGGGAGCAATCATCATCTTATGCCACCCTTACTCCCCTCACTCCCCAGCTGAGGCTGGAGAGGTATGACATACAATGTCTCTGATGAAGCTCTTTAATCAAGTTCAGACTCACAGATACAGACTGTAAACACACGCGCATACAGAGAGACAAAAACACAGAGGAAAACACACAGAGAGACAGAGAAAGAGACACACGGAGAGAGGGAGACGACGGGGAGAGAGAGAGAGACAGACAGACACACACACACACACACACAGAAGGCGACTGAAGTTAACAGCAGCACCACAATAACTTGCATTTATATAGCGCCCCTCACGTGGGGGCTGTGTCCCAGAGCGTTAAGTGCCCGGATCAGGCAGGAAAAGGGGTGGTTCCCTGTATCACAGCCTCTAAACCCCGTTAGCAGACCCTCAGCAGGCAATGTTCAGGTCAGCCGGGTGCCCGACACAAGTGGAAACCCATCACTGCGCTTAAGAGTATCCAAACCAACTGACTCCCACTTACATAAACATCCTTCGTACACGTGAAAATGTCACTGTGTTTGCAATGCGCACTCTCTGTCTCCCGGGAGGATCGCACCCGGGTTACCCAACCCCAGAGAGCACTGTACGCAGAGTGGCAAGAACAACAAAGCACTTTGTGTAGCACTTCCCACGTTGGAAGAACCTCCCAAGTCGCTGGACAGTCAAGGGTTTGCGCCAAGGTTTGGGGACCCCATAGTGTGTGTTGGGGTAACTGCTGGTATCTAACCGGCTAACCCACACAGCTTGCCATTGAGAGCGCTGTCTGGCAAGCTTTCCCGCTGCTTGTCCAGCGAGGACAACCCTACCAGTTAGGGCTTTGGCTTCCAGGGTTAACAGGAGCCGAGGGGGAAGAATCTCAGCTCCCACTGACCGGAAACAATTTAGATTCATACACATCGGGAGGTCGTCTCCATTCACTTGATGGAGAATACAGTGATTACATCACCAAAATATCTCACGGGGCTCTGTGCAGATTCGCTGTCAAGTGGGTTCTGTGGCTGAACGCGGCAGCAATTTGCGCAGAGCAAAGGGCCACACACACAGCAGTGAGATGAATGGCAATTTATCGGAGGGATTGTCGCCCACGAAACCGGGAGAAAAGAGAGAAACTCCCATCACTTTTCCCACAGATATTTAAGGACCACCTTGAACGGGTAAGTCTCCATCAGCGCGGCGCTCTACCCGCTTGCTTGAGCATCAGCCTGGACTCAAGAGTTTGACTTGAGGAATCGTGTGGCTCAATGGTTAGCGCGCTCGCCTCGCAAGCCCGCGGGCCCCGAGTCCAATTCCCGCGCAGGGAGAAACCTAAGGCAAATTTCTTTCCTCGCGCTCTCCGGGCTAATGGATGCACAGCGCTCGCTCACTTGCGCTCACGCTCTACTGCAAAGCAATGCTGTGTGATCTCACCTCTTAAGTTGCTGGGTGTTGGCAATGCGGAGTGCCTCTGGCTCACACACACGCAGTGACCCAACTGCTCGGCGCTGACACACACACACAGGCTCACATACACCTGCAATGCTGTCTGATTAGCTCGTGGGAAGTTCGCCCTCCCCCTCTCCCTCCCCGAAATAGGGACAGGCCGTTCCTCCACCAACAGAGAGCAGGGCTGGGTGTGCTGACTGAGCCTCAGCCAACAGACTGCCAGACCCTGACGTGATGCAGCGATGAGGTGTTGCAGACCATTGGTTGCCGGCGATGAGGCTGAGACGGAGGATTCTGAGCAACTCTCTCCTCATCCAGACACAACTTCATCATATCATCATTCCTCCCCCCCCGACCGCCCCCGACCCCCCCCACCCCCGCCACCACCACACACACAAACTGCATCTCCTTATTACATACCCCACCCTCCCCAGTCATTCCCTCCCTCCTCCTGTGCCTCTTTTCTCCTCTCTCTCTCTCTTTCCCCTCCTGTTCCAACCCCCTCTCTTCCGCCACCCTCCCCCCACATCTCTTTGCCCACCCCCCCTCCCCACCACCACCCAAACTCTCTCTTTCCATCACCTCCAGGCCCCCCCCCAACTCTCTCGCTCTCTCTCAGTCCCTCTCTCGCGCACTCTTTCGGTCACCCCCCTTCTCTCTCCGCCCCATCTCCTCAGACCCTCAGACCCTTGGATCCCCCTCACTCTCTCTCTCTCTCTTTCCACCCTCTCCGGGTTCACACCCTCTCCCCACCTCCTCTCTCTGTTTCCCCCCCTTTCTCTTTCCCTCTCCTCCTATTCAGCACTTTTCACATCAGCAGTGCCAGACGATGCCTATACCCCGGAGTGGCTAAATGGGTAACCAGGGATGAGGGAGGTGGGTGGGCTCAGGGCTGTCGCTGAGGGGGTGGGGTGGGAGTGGGGGTAGAGTTAGAGGACTTGTCCTCCTGCACCAAGTGATTCACAACACGAGATTGAGTACAGATGAAACAACTGCTGTTACAGAGACCATCGCAGCAGATAAACTTGTCGCAGTGATGTCCTGTCCTGTCGGACGCTACTCTGCGTGAAAGGCGCTATATAAATGCAAGTTGTTGTTGTTATTGACGAGCTGCTGATTCATTACAAGTTCGGGGTGAATGTTGGGTGAGGAGTGGGGGGTGAGGGGGGGGGGAGGAGAGAAAAGTCTCCACAGTTTGTCTGGAATAGCAATGGAGGGCAGGGCAACATCAACCGGCATTATACAGCACCCTCTGTGAAGGACAGCGTCTCAGAGCCCGGTGAGGGCGTGGGGGAGAGAGGGGGGGAGGGAAGAGAGAGGAGGGGAGGCGAGAGAGGGGGAGGCGAGAGAGGGGGGAGGCGAGAGAGGGGGGAGGCGAGAGAGGGGAGGGGAGGGAAGAGAGAGAGGGGAGGCGAGAGAGGGGGGGCGAGGGAGGGGAGGGGGGAGGGAGGGGAGGGGGCGAGGGAGGGGAGGGGCGAGGGGGGAGGGGCGAGGGAGGCGAGGGAGGGGGCGAGGGAGGGGAGGGGGAGGGCGAGGGAGGGGAGGGAGCGAGAGAGGGAGGGGCGAGGGAGGGGAGGGAAGAGAGAGAGAGGGGAGGCGAGAGAGAGGGGAGGCGAGAGAGGGGAGGGGGCGAGGGAGGGGAGGGGGGCGAGGGAGGCGAGGGAGCGAGAGAGAGGGGAGAGAGAGGGGAGGGGCGAGAGGGGGGGGGGGCAAGAGCGGGGAGGGCAAGAAAGAGGGGGTCAAGAGCGAACGAGAGGGGGCGGCGTGGGGGTAAGAGAGAGAGCGAGAGAGGGGGAATCACAAGGACCACCGGAACCATGAAGACCGAAAGTGAACCTCAGCCCTGAAGAGGATATACGACAATTTGCATAAACAGGAAACCTGTGTTTCCAGAGACCTCAGAGACTGATTGCACTACTTAAAGGGGCACTGCCGTCCCCAGACCCGTCCCCTTCCCCTTTAATTTGCCAAAGATTCAAAAAAACACACATAAACATCAATGCTTCGGCATTGCGGCTAAATACATCCAGAGAGCGGTCAGTAGACTATTTGCGGAGACAGTGAACGAATTTGAACAAGCCCCCCCCCCCAACACTACCCCCCACCCCCCCACCTGATAATTGCGGAGTCCTGTAGCTCAGTGGTTAGAGCACTCGCTTTGCAAGTGAGAGACCTGAGCTCAATTCCAGGCAGAGGGTGAAACCTTGGGCAAGTTTCCTTACTCCACACAGAGCCTAATAATAATCCTCCAAAACCAAAAACAATAATAAATTGGTCATTTTCAATCTACGACTGTTTGTGGGACATTGCTGTGCGCAATTGGCTGCCGCGTTCGCCCACAAATATACAGTCAATTCACTTTACAGTGTGTTCTGTGAAGCGCTTTGAGACGTCGAGAAGACGTGAAAAGCGCTATATCAAATGCAAGGAGTGTTATTATTATTCTATTATAATGTCGCCAAACCTGTTAACATCGACTTCAACCACTGGACAGGGGGTGAGGTTTAACGTCTCACCTGACGGACGCTGTCTCTGACAATGCGGCACTCTCTCTCCCTCTCTCCCCCCACCCAGTGTCAACCTGGACTGTGAGCTCAGTAGCCCTGATGTGGGGCTCAGCTACACACCCCTCTGATTCAGAGACTGACTAATCCAAGCTGGCAGCGTTATATCACGCTCAGCCAGATTCCCTCAGGACACTGTGCTTAAGAAAAACACAACCACCACATCTTAACCAATAGTAGGGGAGAGGTGAACAGAGCCCTGTGCAAAAGTAGTTAGAATTATAGTATTACAGCAAAGGTACAGCCCATTCTCCCTATCAAGTCCAAATTGGTGCTCGCTCCCCCACTGGAGCTCTCTACTCTAACCCCATTCCCCACTCATCTCCCTATACAGATTTACATTATTCTTCAAGTACTAATGGACGTTAAAAGATTCCATGGCACTATTTGGCTAACAATTCCTTAGATAAAAAATTGATCATTCGCTTCAAGGCTGTGGGATGTTGCTGTGCCCCATTAACCGTTAACCTACACATACCATAATAATAATAATAATAATCCTTGCATTTGATATAGCGCTTTTCACGTCGGGAGGACGTCCCAACGCGCTTCACAGAACACACTGTAAAGTGAATTGACTGTATATTTGTGGGCGAACGCGGCAGCCAATTGCGCACAGCAATGTCCCACAAACAGTCGTAGATTGAAAATGACCAATTTAATTATTGGTTTTGGTTTTTTGGAGGGATTATTATTATATACCATCTCTATATCTTACAAAAAACCTCTGGAACACTTGTTGCTACCAGAATGAAAGTTCTAGCTTTCTTTCCTCAACAACTCGCACTGCGTCTTTCACACAGGATAAAGGTCTCAAAGCTTCACAACAACTCATACTCACAACAGCAACATACATTTCCCGTGGAGTAGAGCCTCGGAGTGCTTTACAGTTACAAATCTTAAAAACAAGTGGGGAGACGGGGAGGTGACCATAGGCGCGGTTGAAGACGGTCAATGCAGAGGGATTGAGGGAGAGGGTTTCAGAGTTTTGGGGTGTAGTGCCTGGAAGCACTGTGGAGTGGAGGGCACGAGGGACAAGCAGGAGGCCAGAGCCAGTTGAGCAGTGAGTGAAGGCTTGGCCAGCAATAGAGAAGGGCCTCACTGGCCAGGGGTAGAGATGGGTGTAGAAGAACACAGATTGTGAGGAGTTAACACAGGCACAAGGCAAAAGGCATGAGGAGAGCCACAAATCCCCATCGTGCTGGCACACAACGTCAGCCAGGCCGCTCTGCTCAATGTTAACAACACAGTACTATAATCACCCTGGAGTTTTGTTAAACAGTTGGCACTGAGATGTGGAGGGGAAAGAACTGCTCCAAGTGCTGCTGGGCTCAGGTAAAACCCATCACGCACTTCATGGCTGCTTGTGGGATATTTCACCGCCAAAATACGCAGTCAATCCACTTTACAGTATATTCCTGTGAAGCGCTTTGAGACATCTCAACAACGTGATAAAGAACTATATTAAATACGAGGATTATTATTATTATAATAAGAACGGCTTCTCAACAAATCTCCCTTCTGCCCTGCACTGGACTGCGAGGTCAGAGTCCCCGACGGTGGGGGTGGAAAGGAGGGGAGAAGGGTTTAAACCCAGAACTTCCTGACTACAGAGATGAGAGCGTGACAGGCTGAGCGGGGCTGGTTCCTCACAATCCATCATAAGTGAATAAAGCTCCCCCACCGTGAGTGGGTGACGGGCGGTGAGATTAGGGTTAGTGTTATGGTGGATGACAGGATTGGGAGAACGAGACCCGTTCCTGGATGTACAGAGTCTCACTCACATCCCTCAACACTTACCTCTTAGCAGACGAGTGTGAGATGTTGCCCATGGGCTGCAGGAAAGCCGTGCAAATTACCCGTGTGTAAGCCCTCCCTGTGACCGGCCTCGCGCTCCCCTTTTTTGTACACACTAAGCGGCTTACTCTTGTGAAGAGTCGGAACATTTTCCCTCTTCCTATCTCTGTGTGTATGTCGGGGACTGACTCTCCACTGACTGGTTCCCGTCCCCACTCTCTCTCTCTGTCTCTGTGTCTCTCCCTGTGATGTGCAAACTTAGACAAGACAGGAGTGAGCTGAGTCTACACTGATGGGGACTGATATTTATACTGTTCTTGAGGGCAATCCCCCTCCAGAGGGGGAAAAAAAAAACCACCACGTGCCCACATACCCGTGCGTTTTGAGTTTGCAGGATTCACGATGTACGGAGCCTGTCAAAGGTTAGCAGACAGACTCCAACAAGGCACTCCGAGCAGCAATAACACGACTCTCAGCAGTTTGGCAGCCAGCCGACAGATTTCAAAATATAACCACTGACCTTTCCCCCACTTAGTATTTTTGGGTTGGAAATATTCTATTTTTTAATTTTCCGTCACTCCCACAATGTCTCAATACCCCTGACGTCTAGTGACTGTGCAAAGCGAGGTCCCGCAAAACGCCATGAAGTGAAAGCCCAATTTATCTGAAGGATGATACCTCTGACAACGTAGCGCTCTATCCCAGAACTGCGCGGCAGTGTCAGCCGAGACTGAGCTCAAAGTAATGTCTTGGATTTTACAGTGTTTCTCCACCTCCAGCAGCGCAGTGGTGTGTCAGTGTGGACAAGCAATGAATCAGTTAGATCAGCCAGGGTCGATCTAATACAATTTATTAATAATCACAATAATAATCCTTGCATTTGATGTAGCACCTTATCAGATCATCGAGATGTCTCAAAGCATTGTTGACTCTTTGTGGGACATTGCTGCACACAATTGGCTGCCACGTTTCGCCCACACAAAATACAAAGTTAATTCACTTTAAAGTATACTCTGTGATCGCTTTGAGACATCTCAACAACGTGATGAGGTGCTATATCAAATGCAAGGTTAATATTATTATTTTACTGTTATTATATTTGACTGGGCACCCGAACTGGGGGTGGAAGCTGAGTGCGGGGGTGGGGGATAGATTACCCAAAGCACAAAGAACAACTTGAGATCCAGCACTGTGATAGCTTCCCTCGGCCTCTCACGCAGGGCAATGAACCAGCAGTTAGAATTAACCGAAGAACAATATGAGTCCTTCATCAGATTGCTGACAGTTACTACACTGCCCAGCGAGTCCTTGTAAGACGTTACACGTGGTGTATTAAATTAGAGGATTCTTACTACATTGTGGCCGGGTGTGGATGTAGTTGTGTTGAACAACCCTGGGTGTTCAGGGCAGCTTGTTGCAGTCTCGGGGTGGGGGTTACGCCGGTCTCCTTGGAGCTGAACTGGCTCCAGGGTGACCTGCTTGGCAAAGCAGCTCGTGTACTGTCCCGCACCAGGCTTCGGACCACATCACTCCCACCCTCGCTCGCCTCCACTGGCTCCCCATCCCCCAGAGGATTGATTTCAAGATCCTCATCCTCACCTACAAGGCCATTCACGGCCTTGCTCCCTCCTACCTCTCCAACCTACTATCCCCCTACCTACCTGCCCGTACCCTCCGTTCCTCTGGCTCCGGTCTGCTCCACGTCCCCCGCCCCAACCGCCCTACCATCGGTGGTCGGGCCTTCAGCCTCTCAGCCCCGAGGCTCTGGAACTCCATCCCCCAGTGCCTTCGCCGCT